ACAGCTGGTGCTATGGTATGATCCCAGGTCTGGGTTGATTGAACATTTCAGCTCAGGTTGCAGCTGTGGCCAATCTTTTGGCATTGCAATTCAACCTTGTCATCACCAAAGCTCCTGTTTGAGAGACAATCAATCAAATTACGAAAAAAGAAAGTAGAAAAAAAAACCTCAATGTTTTAGGTAAGCTTTGGATTTTGCACTGGGCCAGGTTCATAACCATCTAGGACTGTGTGCAGCCCACAAGCTGCAAGGTAGACATGCTGGAGGGCTATAGTGTGTTCTCTCTGCTCACAGCTACCTTATAACAAAGGGACCATCCTATGAAGACAACGTTGCTATGAAGATGTTCAGGATCGGCCCCCAAGCCCCAGATCCAGCAACTCCCCAGGGTCCCAGCTGGTGAGCAGACTGGTCTTTACTGCAGAACCAGAACCCATGCTTCACTTGTCATTTGCCAAGTCTTCACTTCATTGTCTGAGTTGAGGCCACGATTCTGGTGAACACGGCTCGCGTTCCCTGACTGTGTGGAACTGTGGTGGTTTGGAGAAAAAAGATGGCCCCCAAAGGGAGTGGCACTATGTGTCTTTGTTGGAGCGGGTATGGCTTTGTTGGAGGAATTATGTCACTGTGAGGGTGGGCTTTGAGGTTTCCTATACCCAAGGTACCAGCCAGTGTGACTATCAGTTGACTTCCTGCTGCCTTCTGGTCAAGATGCAGCCAACACTATGTCTACCTACACGCTGCCATGCTCTCCTCAAGATGATAATAGACCGAATCTCTGAAACTGTAAGTGAGCCACCACAATTAAATGTTTTCTTTATAAGAGTTGCTGGGGTTGTGGTGTCTCTTCATAGCAATAGAAACCTTAACTAAGGCAAACTCACTTTCCCATACAGCAGGACAGAAAAGTAGAAACTAGTGTTGGGGCTCAGAAAACCATACCCCAAAGTTTGACACTATGCCATGCTGAACTGAAGAACAGCTTCAGACACTGGGTCCCTTTGACCTTCTTGCTTCTCCCTAAAGTATAGAGTGGGGCCCCTCACTGGTAGCCTCCTTCTGAAATAGGTTCTCCTACAGGAAATGCAGTGGCTTTAAACTCCTTGGGACTCTATCCCATAATCAGGAATGATGAACACTGGGAAAGGGGGTCAAAAGTCATCACCAAACCCAGACAGGCTTTTCATGGGCTTTTCACTGGACAGCAGACCCTGGAAGACTGTGTGGTGGCCTATCTGCATAGTTAGAGCTGTGTCTGTAGTGAGGTCTCTCTTCGCCTGGACCACCTACCCCATGTCCCTCTTTCCTGTGAGGACAGAATGCTAGATTCTGACCCTGTGAATTTTCTTTTCCTATCTTTGGTTTTCCCAAACAAGGTTTCTCTGTGTAGCTTTGGAGCTTGTCCTGGAACAAACTAACTCTGTAGACCAGCCTGGCCTCGAACTCACAGAGATCTGCCTGCCTCTGCCTCCTGCCTGAGTGCTGGGATTAAAGGCATGCACCACCACCGCCCTGCAGCCCTGTGAATTTTCAAATCATGAATAGCTCCAGTATGCATGTGCATGTTAATAAATACAATGTTTTCTTTTGATAGTCTGTCTTTTGTTATTAGGCTTCCTGCCATGACTTTTTGTGATAAGAAGGAAAGATATGTTTTTTTCAGGACTGTGTTTATGAAGAGTTGACTCTGCAGATGCCTGCCCAAGCTCACTCAGACCCTGGAAGATTATCTCCAATTGAGTGTTTTCTGTCTTATTATTTTATTGTTGGTGTTCGTTGAGGAAGGAGAGATTCACTCCCAAGTAGTCCAAGTTCGCACCCAAGGGGTCTCACATCTTTTGGGGGAGCAACTGGAGTTAACAGATGAGGAAGCCCCAGCCTCACCCCTGCCCAAATGTGTAAGGAATAAAGGCCTTTCTGGACAAAAGTTCATCCTAAAGAGATATAAGGAATAAAAGTCTCCATTGGTGACAAAGCCCAGGGATGTTGTCTCCTGATACACCTGGCTGCTAGGGAGCAGGAGGTGGTAAATACCCCTTTCACCTGTCCTTTGCCTTGCTTCCTTTCTCCACCTCCAGCTTTAATATCTAATTCCTTGTAAACCGCCCCCACCCCACCCCTGCAACATGTTAAGTTTTTTTTGGCCCGGTAAGCCTTTCTGCCAACGCAATAATCCAAATTAAGCCAAATCATACCAAATAGAAGAAGCCCGGGTTTAATGGATACCAGCACTCCCCAGTGGCCCCCGGGAAAACACAGAGAGGGAAAAAGAACAGGAATGATCACATGTTGGTTCTCTGGGGGGCAGTTTAAATAGCCTGTGGGAGTGGTCTTGACCCTCCCTGGGGAGGGGTCACCATTTGGCAGGCTTTCTAGGAAGTGGAGTTTGGACCGAAGCAACTCGCAGGGGAGGGAATTTGAAATGGAGCTTTCCACTCAAACATTCCAAAATGAATGTCAGGAGCTGGAATAGAGGTCCCAACCAAACATTCCAGACTCTTTGGATAAAGGGGTGCCAGGGAGCTGAGGTGACGCTTCCAACCAAACACAACCCAAACCCAGAGTCTTTCTCCCACCCCCACCTCCTCTCTCCGTTGACCTTCACTTTTAATCCAAGATGGCTAGGTTCCTTTAGGGGGCCCCCAACCAGTCACAACCTCACTGCGCATGCCCAACCTCATTCTCAAGTCCTGGGATATTCCTGGGATATTTATCACCAATTGGGTGCTTTCTGTTTCATTGCTGGTATTGGGGAAGGGAAGAGATTCACTCCCAAATTGTTCAGCAAGTGTTCACCTAGGAAGACTGGAGCGCTGTGCGTGTGAGTGAAAACAAGCAGAGCCCTGCCCATGCCCACATCAGACTTTAGCCTTATTTCCTCCCCAGAGAGCTCTAGATTAAACTTCCTCCTTCCTGGTAAGACTGTTTAATGAGGCAGGGAGGGTTTATGGCAAATCTCTTCCCAGCAGGGAGAGTATGGGCAGGGTTAGGAGCAGCTGCCTTCCCCAGGAGCCTATGACCTGCCGTGTCATTTCCTTGGACAGCTGTGGTCAGAGGGCAACCACCTAGGGAAAAGGCCACAGCCCCTCCAGGGACCAGGAGACTGCTCTGTCGGTAGCCAGGCCAGGGAGGCAGTTGGCCAGGCCAGGACTCAAGGCATCATCAGCTGATTCAACACCCCTTCTCCACCAAGGTAGGGAAGCGTGAGCCCTGACCCTCAGGTAAGTTTCTGCCAGGCTGGTGAGGGTTTTTACCTCTTGGTCCACGTTTTTGAAAGAAGGATAGAAGCAGGGTGGATGGGAAATGAAGACTAAGCATGCCTGAGAGAGGAAGCAAGAGGAAAAGAAAAAGGAAGCAACTATGTAACTGAAGAGACTTCTAAGACTCTTCCTCTGAGGAAATCTAGCCCACCTGACAGTCAAGGGGAAGGCTGGGTTAGCACTCGGTGCAGTTCTTGCTGAGATTGATTAATTATGACTGCTGTGGGTACAGAGATAAGATCTGGGGTCCAAAAAGCCTAGGATTTGAAAACCCACACTGTAGATGATATTATCCCATGACCACAGGTAATCTGCACATGTATTATTTACCCGTGTATATAGGTTTTTAAAAGAAAGAAAAAAAATACATTCTAGATGAACATCAAGTTCCACGAGTGTTTGAATACTGGATAAAGAGGGGCAGATGGACTTCCTTTATCTCTGAAACGATTGACCTGAAATGTTACGTCACAGGTGTGTGGTCATGAGAGATTTTCTAGCAGTGCCAGGCGGAGCCCTCTCGCTGACATCTGTTTTCCTCATCTGTGAAATGGGAGTGAAGGGCTGAATATCCCAGTTCAGTCCCTTCCGTTCTTGCCCGTTAGGCCTCTGTGGGAGGAATCACGGAAGCACAGAAAATGGCACTGGCTAGGTCCTAAATGTTCTCCGTGTGGCATCCTATGTGAGACCGTCCCGCTCCGAAAATGGGGAGTGGTGAGAATCTTCCTTCACCCAGGCAGAGTGGCTGCAAAGTTTATACCCTGGCACTATGCTACGGTGCCCTGTGATAGAGCTGGCTGGGGAGTGTCCCTGCAGGTAGTTCATTCACAGTATATTAGTTGGGTACTTCCTGCAGGACAGGCAAAGACACCGTTGTTCTACCCAGAAAGAAATAAAAATCATCATTATCAAATTTTGTCACCTGCTATAGAGATGGCCTGGGAATTAGGGATGGATTTCTCTCAAGAGGTTGCATGTGCTAAGGCAGTGTGAACTTAGAAAGGGGGAAGACAAGGGGTAGGGGAAGGGGAAAAGGGGAATAGGGGGCAGTGCAGACCAGAGCAGGGGAGAGCTGGTGGTCAAAGGTGAGAGCAGGTCGTGTTACACCCAGGTTACGCACAGCTGTAGGGGAGAGCTTGGCTTCTCCCAGTGGATCCCCCTGTGTGTCACCTGATGTACACCTGGAGGCTTGGAGCCTTCTGTGTTGTGGTCATATACACAGCTCTTTCTGAGTTGATTGCCTTGTCTGCAAGTTGACCCCAGTTGCTTGCTCTGTTTCGGTAGGAATTTGGGGATCTGCCGAGCTAACGTGCCGAACCTCCTCGCTGGCACTTGGGCATTTTTCTATGGTGGAAGATATTCAAAGTTCTGTCTTGACATTTTCTTAGTCTGAAGCAGCTGATCCTGCTGGGATGACACCAGTCTGTCTAATGGGGGAGTTGGTGTGGCTTCAGATAGACCATGGACAGTCTGTAGGAGAGGGTGCTGAAGTCTCCACTGACTGGTACCAATCCTTTGGAGGCTCTAGAAAACGGATGGGAACTCTGGTTTCCTCCGCAGGGAGCAGCCAAGAGATCCAGAGGCTTGGAGAGCGACCCTGTGGCTTCAGAATCTGGATCCCAGCTCTGCCTCTTTTTTCAGCCTGGGGTCAACTGTTTCATCTTCTGAACTTGCCTCAGCCTCTGTCTCCAAAGACTGGCGCTCCCGTTTTACAGTAGATAAACTTAAGCCATTTACTTATTGAATTTATATTTAGGTTTATTTCTTTTAAAAATAAACAATGGGGACGTTAACGTATTTCTTGAGGTGTGAATCTGCAAAAGTCAATAGTAAAGCCCTCACCATGGTGCTGGCCTGGAGCAGGTGACCACACGAGCCGGTACTCCTTTCAACATTCAATGCCAACTATGCCTTAGGCACTGTGCAAGGTACCAGGCTTTTAAAAAATGACAGAATGCTGTCTCAGAAAGTTCACACTCTGTCAGAATGGTCACACTGAAGACTGGGAGTTAAACAGGTGGTGGCACCACAAGAGATACATTATGTTGGTCAGCTTCCTGTCACGCTGACAAAATACCGGAGAAAATCAACTGAAAAGAAGATTGACTCATTTGGCCCCTGCTTTTACGGTGCTGTCGTTTGGCTCTGGTGTGATGGTCAGGGCCTGTGGTGTGGCAGGGCATCGTGGTGAGGAGTACTCTGTGAGACCAAGCTGCTCACGTTTGATGTCTAGAAAGCAAATAGGAGAGCATGAGGTAGAGGTTGGTTGGAGACAAGCCTCTTCAAGGCCATACCGCCAGAAACTACTTCTTTAAACTAGGTTTCACCTCTAAAAGTGTTCACCACATCCTACTAGCCCGTTAAGTTGTGAAGTTGATAGATCAAGCCAGTCCTAAGGTTAGAACCCTCGTGGTCCAATCACCCCCATAGTGATGGATCTGAAACTCTACATAACACTGCAATGGGGACTAAGCTTTCAACACATGAGCTTTTGGGGAATATCTCACAGGCAAACCAGAACAGACAGGTAAAAATTCTGTATGATCAATCATAACATGACAATTGGTACATGTGGGGGACTGATTCTGCATCTAGCATGGCATTGAGTACTTGACTACAACTTTGCATGGTGGCTCTTAGCCCCATTTTACAGATGAACTACCGAAGCCTAAAGAGAAAGTGCAAGCTGCGAAAGCTGAGAATGGTAGTGACAGACTTTTTGACCAGGAGGACCCAAAGGAGGCTACATTCCATAAACCATAGGGTCCCAAGCAAATAGCACTGAAGGCAGCTATGAACAGCTCTGGAGAAGAGCAGAAGGGTGGTGGCAGGAGCTAGAGACAACAGTTTGTTTACAGGAACCATGCCAAGGACTTAGATCCTCCCATAGGTATTCCTCCAGCAAAGGTAGCGGCAGAAAAGCCGGCTTCATTAGAGCTGACATCAGGAAGGAAGCCACTGCCGAAGACACAGGGAGTCGACCTGATTCTTTTAGCCCTGTGATCAGACTTTGAGAAGGAAGAGACAGAATGGGAGTTTAACTTGAAACTTTCTCACCTATGTACATGGGAAAACCCTTGCATTTTAGGCAGGAAACTTGGGTGTCAACGAGGGGAAAATAAAAGACATACCGGCATGTAAACAGAGAAGCCTGAGAGTGACTGAAATATGGCAAGGGTCCTGTCTTCATGTTGCTTTATTCCCCAGCAAGCTGTCCCTACAGGGGAGCAGAGATGTACTCAAAACTTCTACTTCCAAGTCATATGGACTCCAGATGCTAACAGGAAGGCAGCTTTTTTTTGCTAGAACAGCTCCGCTTGGGTCACCTGTCCTGTCTGTGATCAAAGGATGTCACACACTCTCTTCATCAAGGACCCATGGCCATCCTGGAGTCATAGATGAAGGTCAAGTCTATTCAGATGAACAGAAGGAACATCTTTCTCCAGATGATAATTAGAGTGCTCACCAGGAAAAGAGAGAATGGATTCTGGGTGTTAGGTCCCCATGGCAACAGATGCCCACCACATCCTCACTGATCCCTTCTTCGCTTAACAGGTTACAGCAGTAATGGATGCCAAAGCTGACTAACCATCCTACTTAACTGACACTGGGCAAGTTGCCTAACCTTTCTAGGTCACAATTTCCTCCCTGATAAAAATGTCGTTCATAGAAAAGAATCCTGGCAAGATTGCTGGAAAGTTAAGGGTTGACTTGGGGCTCAAAGTTGGTAGAACAATTGGCCTTATTATAATCAGTATTGTGATGATTACTTGTTCTTTGGTCAGATATCTGGGTCTTATACCTTTCTAGATGAAACATATTCAGGCACATTCCAAGAGGCAGCCGTCTTGAATTATCAGAATTTTTAAGCTGCCTCTTATAGAAGCCAAATTACCTACGTGTGAGTGCAGTTCTTCATGCTTGACCCGATTTGAAGTGGCCCAAGTAATCAGCAGGTCTGCTGTGACCAGAGAATGAACCCTGATGGTCTAGGTAGCCCTACCATAATTCAGTTGGTATTCTGATGGCCCCGGCCAGACTTTCAGCAAAGAGAATCCTGGTGACTCAAAACTGCTTACCTGAATATATCTAGCCCTTGAAGTTGCCCCCTTTTCTCTCAGCCAAGAGAGAGGAGAAGGGCTGTGTAGGAAGATGTCTTCCACTTTTCTCCCGCTGCTCTGTGGGTATCTGGGCAACTCCATTGCCCATTCATCATCCAAAAACTAGCTTGTTCCAGGTTTCCAGGGTACTGGTATAGTTGAGGGTGCGTGCGGCATTCCCAGAGATGAAGTCAGGAGCGTTGCTTCATTACCTTACACTTGTTCCTTAAGAAGCACCTCCTTTGTGGGACTGCTGTGTTGGGGTACAAACTTGTACCTAATTCCCATTAAGTCAGGCATGATGATGGCATGTACAGACAAGAAAATGGGTTGAGAGAGGGCTCTGCCTGCAATACCACAGTGAAGGCCACAGCAGACTCCACCATGTCCCATCATTAACCACCCTGCACCGCAGACTTCCAGCTCCTGGGTCACCTGAAGTTTTACAGGAGTGAAGGAACTAAAGCAGTCATCTTACTGAGGGCCTCCCTGGGCAGCCAGGGCCGTGGGAGAGGCGTACTGAGCAAAGCATGTCAGACCATGACCTCTCAGATGTCCCAAGAGGAATGGCTTCCTAAAACCCATGTAAAGAGAGAAGGCAAGCAGCTAGTCATCAAAGTGAACAGGTTCTCATGGATCTGCCTCCTGGACTGGCCTGCCAGTCAGGAGGATGAAGGTGGAGACAGAACCTTCGAAACGTTCTCTTATTCCAAGCCCATCTCCCTTCTCCATCACCTAAGTTGAGCTTCAGGCCAGGGAGCTCCCAGGCCCATGTGCACCTTTAGCTAACAGAACTACACATAGCTAACTAGGTCCCATATGCAGCCCAACACCTCTTTCTTAAGGCTTTATTGGTACACATCCACATCCACATCCACATCCACTCATATACATGTCTACGGCTGTCATCCTGCTCCAGTTCAAAGTTGAACTGTCATCTCTGGGAACAATGGGGGGAAAAAAACACCCTGCAGAGCCCAGAATATTTCCAACCTGATCCGATTTACAATAGTTGACTAAGCATGAGACGGACCTTCTAGAGGACATGGCAGCACATGCCTGTAATCCCAGCCCTCCAGAGGTTGAGGCAGGGGGATTATAAAACCAGCCTAAGCTGTGTATAGAAATTGAGGTCAGTCTGAGACACTCCCTTAAATTAGAAGATGGTTCCTGATACAGACTATCTCATCTGTAATCTTTTGTTCCTCTGACTCTTAGCGATATGACCTGATCACTCAGTGACTCAGTTTCCCCCCAGATTCTTCACTGATCGCTATAGGATTAAATTTGCTAAAAAGTAATTCAAGGTTACACAGTGCCTAGGGCAGAGTACTCATCATCTTATCCTGGGAAACCCCACAGGAACTGTGAGAGTAAAATCTCATCAATAAATAGGGGCTGGGGAGATGGCTCATCACACGGCTGGCAACCTACAACCTCCTGTAACTCCGGCCTCAGGGGATCAGGCACCCTCTTCTGGCCTCCTCGGCTACCCGCACACAAAACTACACACACGCAGAGATACAGAACAGCTTCATTAGGGTTCCTTTTGCTGTGATAAAATACCACAATCAAAGGCAACTTGGGAAGGAAAGGGTTTATTTCGTCTCACAACTCAAACCACACTCCATCACTGAGGGAAGCCAGGGCAAAAACTCAAGCAAGGGCAGGAATCTAAAGCAGAGGTGTGCAGCAGACTGGCTTCCTTGCACACCACTTTCTCAGCCTGCTTTGTTATACACCCCAGGACCACCTGCCCAAGGGTGAAATCTCCCCCATCAATCACTAATTAAGAAAAGGGCCCACAGGCTTACCTATACGCCAATCTTGTGGCCTTGCCGTCTCAGTCGTGGTTCCCTCTCCTCAGACATGTCTCGGCTTGTGTCAGCTTGATAAAAACCAAGCAGTGCCTACACCTTTTTTAAAAATCTCCCTAAAAGATAATAGTGAGGAAAGGATATTATGGAAATAATAATCTATTTCCTTCCTCAATAAATGTCACTGGAACAAATTGTTCCCACCGGCAGTCTTACTGTTTATGGATTTATCCACTACACATCTCCCTCCGTATTGGTGGCATCATCAATAATCGCTGTAAATATCAGGGCGTTGGGAGAACTATCCAGGAATGAACGGTGGCCTCGCAGATTAGTGATTCAGGGTGGATAGGGATGATTAGAAAATGAAGGACAAGAACAACTGGACCTGGGCAGGGTCTCCCACAGCAATGCCAGCATGTGTGCCACAGTCCCTTAAGAGTCTTAGTTTTCACTCTCAATCGGGTTCCTACCTTGGTCTCATCTTCTTCCCCCCGAGCTGTGTCGCCCAGACCCTATCGTTGCCCTGGCAGGACTTCCATCTCCCCAAGTGTTTGTCCCTAGCAATGAATCCCAGGGATGGGGTGGGCGGTAGACGCTCCTGGGAGGACAGTGATCTGCAGCCTTCTGTGACTCGCTCAGTCTGTGAAATGTCTGAGAATGATGTGGAAATAACCAGGGCTTAGATTTGCAGATGTCGAGTGGGTTCTAAAGTCCAAAGATGTCCTCTGGGTGGTCTAGCTTGAGGGGGAAATGATGCAAGGTATAAAGGAAGAAGCCGCTTTGGTGCGGGGAGAAGGCCAGTTTGCAAGAAGCCTTCCCTTCACTCTCAGCACACCTTCTGTATGCCTGGTGCCAACACTGGGACATGAAGAAAGGCTGTCCAGAGGAGTTACAGGCAGCAGGGGAGCTGGACCAAAGCTCAGGGCCAACCAGGGAGTAGTTCAAGTACTTAGATGGAGGGGTCCTTGTGATGGCAGGAGAGGTCCAAGAGTCAGAATTTAACAGGTAAAGTTCTCACTTCTCTAGCGATGCTGATGAGACGCTCTGACCCCTCCTTGGTAGTCCGTCCTCAGCCTAGAGAGTCTCTCCTTTCTCTGTCCACCTTGACTCTAGGTCAGCTGTGGTTGAAAGTCACTGAAAACAGGAAGAATTTGACATCCTGGACCCTGCAGGGCCTTTAAGAATGTGGCAACGAAGATTGGGCGGGGGGTAGAGTTCAGTATTAAAGCATTTGTTTGGCATACTCAGTGTCCTAGGTTTAATGCCTAACACTGTAAAGAAGAGGAGGAGGAGGAGGAGGAGGAGGAGGAGGAGGAGGAGGAGAAAGAGGAGGAGGAGAAAGAGGAGGAGGAGAAGAAAGAAAGAAAGAAAGAAAGAAAGAAAGAAAGAAAGAAAGAAAGAAAGAAAGAAAAGAAAAGAAAGAGAAAGAACAAATAAAGAAAAAATGAGATAAAGGGCAAGGAAATGTCACAGGCAGCAGGCAGAGAAGCTATGGTTACACCTTGATTCCACAGAAAGAATAAACATCCCTATGGGAATGGCGCCAAGGAGGAATATAAACAGAGCTGAAACAGTGAGCCCTGTAAGCAAGATGGCACGGCGCTGTCAGGCCAGCACAGACCTTCTAGACAGGGTGGCCTGCTGCCTGACCACTTCCACGGCGGGTAGATAGCATCGCCTCCTTTTCAGAGCTCCGAGAGCTGTACCCAACATGAGCCCCAGTGCACAAGCGGCAAGGTCATGTCTACCGACCCCCAGGTACAGCCTCTTTCTCGGCATCACCAGATGTTTGCTGTTTAACTCTTTTATGACCAGGCCTTCACGCTGGCCTCACCAGCCCAGACTGACAGAAGCATCTCTTAGTGCCTCTCCCCTGGCCTCCACATACCCCTCAGTAAAGGATCAGATTGGTCTTGTCTGAGTCCCTTGCTAACTGCAGAAGCAATCACAAAGGACATGAAAAGGCCCCGTGTGACAGGATAACGTGATCAATGTGCCTTTATCCAGGACTACCTGTACGTGTTTAACCTTAGCTTCCAGGGTCACAGATTTCCCAGAGGAAGTAGTTCTTGCCATGAGGCCTGCAAATTGAGTAAGACCGTTCCAGGCATAGCCTCTTAGTAACAGTGTTCAGACAAAAGATTAGCAAGGGCAAAGTTCAGGGGTGCTTTCAAGAATGACTTATCGCAGCCAATCCCCTGTGCCCAGTGCCCAACCGTACTTCCCCCGATGCTCAGAAAATGCTTCAGGAACAAAACCTACAATCTGCTGTGTGGCTTTAGAAATCCCTTGATCCCAATGAACTTCCATTGCCTTCTCCATGTGGTGGCTTTATCCCCCTCCCCTTCCAGGACTGTGCTGGATTCAATACAGTCCCATCTCTGGTCTTGTAGCTCTGGGCCTGCAGGACACAAGGCTTGCTGGGGAGAATAAAATGTTTGCGGCTCATAAATTGATCTGGAATTGGAAAGCTACAGGGAGTGTAGGGAAGGACAGGTCAGAGGGAGAGGCCAAGGACAGGGAGGTGCTGGTGGCTCTCTGGTCAGGGAGGGAAGGGACAGCTCACAACTCCGGCTCTCCTCAACAACCCTTCTTTTGTGCCTTTCCCATACCCATCCTACCTGCTGGGTAAACCTGAGCCTGCACATGTATCTGTGCCCTGGGCTGGCTGCATCTAGAACAAGACCACCTTTTCCCCTGCAGCTCTGCCGCCTGAATGGCCAGTTGTGACTAGGAGAAAATGCTGCCCCACCTTGTGTTACCCGTTTCTGGTGTCGTTTTTTCCCCTCCCCGTAGCACCCCGCCCCCTGCCCCCTGCCACTAGCAGACCAGTCCTATACCCTGGTCCCACACCGCAAATGTCTCCCACGATGAGCACATTGGGGGACTCTGGAGGTCAGGGAGCTCCTCGGGACTCAAGCAGAAGGTACTTCAGGCTGGAGAACCCATGGCCAAGGCAAGACTGTCCTGCCGCTCCGCACCCCAACCCTGAAGCCAGGTCCCGCCAAGCTTCGGTACCCGGCCAGTCTTCCTTGGGCTCTGGCCCTCTCTTCCTCTCTGAACACTGCAGGGTCCTCTGTATCTCTGAGTATGCACCAAGATGCCTTCCTCTTCCTTCTGCCTCCCTCATGTCCTCATCACCTTCCATCCCTGCTTCTGCCAATTCATTCTTTTTAGTTTTTCCTTTCTCAGTTCCCTCCACCCTTGCCCCTGATTGGGGCAGCTCTGTTTCTTTGCACACTTTCTCCTATCCATCCATGCCTGTCCTATTCCAGGCCTGCCCTTCTACCCAGCCTGCCCAACACTTTAATGGTGCAGGGCTTAGAATGGCCTTCATTTCTCAGGGAGACACAGCAAGGTAACAGCTCAGACTCTCCTCAGAAGGCCCTGGGGGAGGTCAGAGCAGTAGCTCTTCCCAGTGGAGGTTTCTGTAGCTGTTACCATTGTTTAAATGTAAGTACTTCCCGTACAGACAACCAACAGGCAGTCTAGAGATGCTTGACCTGATGCAGAAAGGTTTTAGAGCCCTGTGGGGCATAGTCCCATCTCCTGTCTTACCAGAGAGTGCCCAGGGCAGTTAGACCCTGGAGACAGTTGAGATAATGTCTGTTAAGATAGATTCTTGGGAGAAAGAAAATTCTAGGGGGAAGGGGAGGAGGGAAATGAAATCACTACAGAACGAAAAGACCACTTGGCCCAGACTCCATCTCACCACCATCCCCAGCCCTCCCCTCTCCTAATTACCACTGGCCTCCAGGAAGCTTTCAAAACTGCCACATTACCTGGCAACTGCCCAGTGTCTGAGAGGAACACAGTAGGTGTGGGAAGGATGACCCAGACTCTGCCCAGGATGCAAAAAAGAAGAAAACTCTGGTTTAAGCTCTCTGCTGAAATAAAAAGTACTAGAAGTGGGACCCTGAGGGGAGCATGGGGCCCTGTAGCTGCAGACTCCCCTCTAAATCCCTCCTCTCACTTCCCCTGCTGAGTGACCTTGGGCTTAACTTGTCCTCACTTATCCCTGAAAAGATTCTTTTTCACACAGCACCTGGCTCATCTGGCCTCTGTACATCGACCAAAGTCACTTGTAGGCCTCTGTTCCCTGATGCTTTTCCTGGCTTGACACCCCTGGGTGGGTGGGGAAGAGATGGAGAAAGGGAGGAAGGCAGGAATGGGGCCAAATGAATGAAGGTAAATCAAGTCTCCCAAGATGCACCTTCCTCTACTATTTAATCTCTGCATACACTAGGGGCCTGAGTGTAGGAGACATGAGGTAGGAAAAAGAGTAAAGCTGTTCCCCTACTCACAGGACAGGCGAGAGGACCCCGAGCCAAAGGGTTCTAGATGCCACACTCAATTTTGGCACTCTTCCTGATTTTCAGACCCCAGAGGCCAGCATGTAATTGGACTTTCTTCTCTCCACAGGTAACGTTGACTCCGCTGACTCCGAGCCATTCTCCTCGGCAGGATGAGAGTGACAGGTAGGACAAGGTTCTGCAGCTTCTTGGGGAGGGAGCTCTAAAATTCACTTTTCTATCATCAGTGTCCGCCCAGCCCAGCCTCCGGGGTGATTCAGTGTCTCTTGTCAAAGGTCCCAGCAAGAACTCCAGGAGGACGGTATGCAGGAGAACCAGGGAGAATGGGAGGCACAATTCCATCCCTACCTATGGGTGTGTCCAACCTTTGAACATTGTGACATAACATTGTCATCTACAAAATCCACACTTTAACTATGTAAACACTAAGTTACATAAATAGATAGATGATTGATTGATTGATAGATGATAGATAGATAGATAGAGAGATAGATGATAGACAGACAGACAGATGATTTATAGGTAGCTAGATAATAGATAGATACATACATAGATACATACATCATAGATACATAGGTGGGTAGATGCTATGTGTGTACATGTGTGTGCACAGGTGTGCATAGAGATCAGAAGTCGATGTCAGATATTTTCTTCTCACGTCTACTATGTTTCTCATTAAAGTTGAGTTCCCCAGATGCAGAGCCCCTGGGATCTGCCTGTCTCTACCTACCTCCTCCAGTAGTTGCTGGGTACACAGATCCACACCTCAGCACCAGCTCTGACATGTATGCTGGGGATCTGACCTTAGGTTCTCATGCTGGCACTTTACCCACTGAGTCATCTCTTCATTCAGTTAAAATAAATAAATACATTAAATTAATGTTTATAGTTTTGTGTTGAGTCACAGTCGTAGCTCTCCTAGGCTGCCTGTGTCCCATAGGTCATAGTTTGGACACACCTACAGGCTGGGGAAGCTGGACAGCTGCTTCCCAGAGGCCCCATCTGCCTGGAATACCAACTTAGAAATACCTGGCTCTGGCCAGAAGTCTGGGACCATATACGAACCTCAAGGAGGGCTGTTTCAGGGTCCTGACACCTCAGACAGCACAGTAAGGCAGAGGTCTTCATACACGACCTCAGATGGGCCCCTTTGTACAGGCGTTGATATGGGAGCATGTGCAATACACACCCCCCACTTCTTCTCCCAGGTAACTATGAGAAAGCATGACCCCTGATTTAGAGTCAGCTGACTTGCATAAGTTCTAAAAGCGGTCATGGGAAAGCACCCACCTCTTCTGGCCTCAGTTTCCTCATCTGTGAAGTAATACATTAACAAGCATAAAAATGTAATGGGGGAATGAATTGAGATCATCTATGTTCAAGTGGTCATTAGAGTGCCTGGCACAGAATGGGTGCTGACTAACATGGACTGGTCCCTGAGGGGAATTCTGCTTTGCAAGCCCACTGCACTAGAAGACAAAGGGTAGCCCCAGACTAAATGAAATTGTGTGATAACATTTTGTGATCCTCGCAAGGCAAGGGAGTAGATGGGCTCTTGGTGCCTCTCCCGGGTATGAGACTGCTCCCCAGTGACAGGAACCAGAATCGCTCTGGCTGTGAGGTAGGGGAGACTGGGGAGCTATGCCTGTTCTGAAACTGCTGAACAAGTCCACCGTATGGTTATTTTTGGTGACTTTGAGCTGATTAAAAATATGGAGGATATTCCCAGCTCCCCAAGCCACCAGCATACTACCTACTACTAAGACTATACTACCAACAAACCAGGCCATCCATCTGTGAAGCATGAGTAATAAAAACTCACAGACAGATGTTGAGGTTCAACCTAAAGATCAGAAAGGCAAAACAGTCAGCCACTGGCTGGCTCTTACCTCTGCCTCAGTTGGAAATAGCGATCCTGCCTCCAGAAATCTCAGAATGAGACTGTGTGTGAGAGCTGTCTCCTCCCATTTTATAATCCTCTCTGGGATTAAGGGTGTGCACCACTACCAACCGGTTTCTGTGGCAAGCTAGCGTCTCAGGCCAGCTTTATTTATTATACTACGAATGAACTGCCACCACATACCTGCCCGTCCATCCATCTGCCCATCCCTCCAGTCTTCTACTCTTTTGTTATCTAACCATCTGGCCTCCCACCTGCCGTTCCCTCCATTCACCTGTTTCCCTTTCACTTACAAGTACTTATTCGTACACGCTCCACATACAAAGTAAAACCCTTGCATACAAGAAAGTCACATTCCAGGAAATAGAGTCAAGTAACAAGCAAGTAGTACGATGAGGGTACTTGGAAAGAAAACGGATGATTGAGAGGTTAAATGAGGTTAAATGAGGAGGGATTACAACTGGGACCGTGGAGGCCAGGGACCTCAGCAGTAAGGGCATAGCCATATCTACTGTTTGGGATCGACTGAATTTAGCTCAGGGAAGGTGAACTCCTGCACACATACAGACCCCAGGACACATGTAGGCTCTCTCTAGGAAGCTAACTGGAGCCCAAGGAAACGCACTTTCAACTCATTCACAATGGCTATTTGAGAAGTGTTCACAAAATCAAATCATGATCTCACTGTCTGATCCTATGTGGTATTGGCGCATAGTCTCAAGGTGTGGACCTGGCCTACAACAGAGGGTTTCCCACAGTGGTGGTGTTCCTGGAATTTGGCAAGAACTCACACACAGACTTTCTACATGGCTTTGCCCTGCAGCCCCCTGTTGGGGTGTGGCACGTGACCTGACAGACTCTTCCTACTTGCAGGTCTGATTCGCGTTGTGGCCTTCGTCTTCACCATGGTTGCCATGTGGGTCTTTCTCCGCAGCTACGTCAGCTTCAATAGGAAAACCATCCGTCTGCCACGCTGGCTGGGTAAGTGGAGCCCATGGCCCATCATCTGCAGATCAGGGATGGGGCGATGAGAACCTCTCTTCTGGAGTGACCCAGGAGCCAGCCAGATGTGGTGAGCTGTGCACTGGCATTGTGGAGCACCGTGTAAGAATCCTGGACTGAACAGAAGGCTGAAGCCATGGGAAACACAGAAGAGTTCCAAGGCCCTGGTCTAAGGGAGGGGAGAAATAATACTGCCTGAGTTGTGAGTGGGGATGAAATGATACTGGGCTGTGAGTGAAGAAAAAAATACTGTCTGAGTTGCAAGTGGCTGTTCCTACCTGCTGTTCCCATGGGGTTTGGTGGGTGTGATATTTAAGCGTCTCCAAGGTTCTCACAGCTTGATTTGAAACAAGAAACAAGTCTGTGCATATGCATGTTTCTGCATGTGTGTGTTGAATATGCATTTATGTGCATGTATGTGCCCTTCATATATGTATGGGTGTATATGCAAGTGTGTGTGTGTCCATTTATGAAAGGTGGCAGCAGCAAGTTAAAGAAAGCTCCTGGATGTAACAGGCGGGCTAATTCATATTAGCAGAAGCACACCAAGGTCTCCTGTTCCCTCTACCCAGCCATCAGCCCCCTCCCCTTCCTGCAAGAGGCCTAAGTACCTTTTCACTAACCAGATTCTTTCTCTCAAGCAGGCAAGCCCCCCAAGGAGATCCGTGAGTATCTACCCAGCCCCGTAAGTACCCCCATCGGTCCTCAGGCAGGATGTCCCAAGGCCTCTATTTCCAGTGCTGCAGGCCCCAGAGAAATACAGGTGTCCCGAGTCTGTCTTCCTAGCCCACTCCTCTGTGACAGTGGCCGCCCTCAGCCACTCAGACCGGCAGGAACATGGCTTAGCTCTTTCCCTTCTGCAATTCCTTCTGGGTCGTCTAGACCACAGGACACTCTGCAGGACACCCTGCTTTCTCTCTAGAACCTCATTGTAAGCCAAAATTGAAAGAGGTCTTCAGCAAGGACCCGGGTTCCCAAGGAACAAAGAAGGTGGAAGGGGGAGCACGGCTGCTACTGATGCTAAGACTGAGCAGATGATGCATTCTGTCCTCACAGGCATCTCGTCTAAAGCTAACATACTCCCATGTAGGTTCCATTAGGTAGGAAAACAGGCTCAGAGAACTGAAATCTCCTGGCTAAGGCCAAAAAGTTGTAGTGATAAGTAGGGGAGTCAAACACCCCTACCCTGCTAGCCCATAGATCATCTCCCCAACAGCTTTTTTTTTTTGCATAAGACCTCCCTGCAAAACCCCCTAATCCAACATGGTAACTCCAAAGAGAGCTGAGCTTCAGGGTTAGGATTTTATTGGCTAAGATGACACAAGAACCCAATGCACACAGCATTGCCGAGAGCCAGCTACAGAATAAACCATTTTATGCTTGATCTTAGCCATCTGAAGCCTCCTCAGTCCAATTCTAAACCAGACTCAAAGAGTTATGACATCTTGAAGATATCATCTGCTGGGATAAATAGAAAACTCAAGCATGTATGCTACATTCTGCTGTTTCTGATCCCATGGCAGACATCACTAGTCAATCTCCACATCCTCATTCGCCAAGCCCATAGCTAGCCTCAAGAGTTTTATCCTTAAGCCTTTCACAGTAAGTTCAAACTGTCATTTAAGAGAAAGCCTGATGGAGGCTGGAGAGATGGCTCAGAGGTTAAGAGCACTGCCTGCTCTTCCAGAGGTCCTGAGTTCAATTCCCAGCAACCACATGGTGGCTCACATCCATCTACAGTGAGACCTAGTGCCCTCTTCTGGCATATAGGCCACTATAGAACATGTATACATAATAAACAAATAAATCTCTGGAAGAGAGAGAGAGAGAGAGAGAGAGAGAGAGAGAGAGAGAGAGAGAGAAAAGCTTGCTAGTCAGCTCAGATTGGAATCAACTTCCTGACTTGATAAATCAGGAAAGATAATTGCAGAAACTCCTAGCAAAACCACAAAGCAAACTGGCGGAAGAAAAGTTCAAATCACCCCCATGTACATGCATGTGCACACACACACACACACACACACACAGTGCTCAAGACAGTACACCAACTTCAGGCCCAGAGCAATGGCACCAGGGTTCGGAACAGTTACTGAGACTGCCCCTTCAGTCACAGCCCAGAAAGCAGATCTTGGCTCCCCTGAGGTCTCCCCAAGGGCAGCACCTGTCTTCATGCAGCAGTCTGGTAGTGGAGGCTGGGTGGACAGGAAATCATTCCCAGAAAAGCCTGCCTATGCTGTGCTATTGACATGGAACTTGTTGGACTCAGCTACAGTTGACCAAACAAGCCCTGAGAACTCCAGCTGCGGTCCCTGGGGCCTAGACTCTTCCCTGCCAGTGAGGGCCAGAGAGACCCACAGTTTGCTGTCTTTCTATCTGGATCATCCTTCCCAGCCTAAAGCCAAGCCAAACCAAGAGGCTCCATGTTCTGCCTGTGAAGAAGGGCCAAAGCCCAGGCACAGAATCTGCTGGGGTGATCCAGAAAGGCACATGCCAAGCCCTCAAAAGCTCTGCAGAAGCAACCTTGCTTAGGAGGCCCTCAGATTAATTCTGGGGTGGCCAGAACCTCAGCCAGAGTCCTCTATATTTTGATGCTGTTGGTGGAGGCCCTAAAGTATCTGGAAAAGAACAAAACCCCAAGGCCCAGTCTCCTCCCCAGATGTGAGAATTCTGTGTTACCTTCCCAGGGATCCCAAACAACAAGTGTGGGCTCAGCAAGCCCTGCCAAGACAACTTCTTCGCATTTAAACTCAGCAGTGGGGCTGCCAACGTCGTGGGCCCCTCCATGTGCTTTGAAAATGAAATGTGAGTACCCAGGGTGGCTGTGCTTCTTTGCCTTTCTTTCTTCCTTTTTCCTTTCTTTTTTCCTTCCTTTCTTCCTTCCTTCCTTTCTGCCTTCCTTCCTTCCTTCCTTCCTTTCATCCGTTTGAAAAGTCAGGCATCAGAGCAGGCCTGCAAGGAACCACCCATGCCTTTCCCAGGTTACCTTTGACTCGAGGTACGTGAACAAATATCCATCAGCCAAAGAGCTCCCAGCTCAATCACCCATTGCTAAGCTGCCCCCATCCCTTCCCTGCACAAGGGGTTGAGCTGTTGTTGTCCCTGCTGTTAAAAAACAAGTGAGGCTCAGACAGGGACAATTGCCACGTGGAAGGCATGTCTGTCCAACACACAAGTTGCAGGGCTTCTGGGGTAAGGGATGCCCTGTGGAGGACATCTATGTACCCATTTCCAACCTCAGCAGTTAAGTTTATCCTGCCGTGGAGAACAGATGGGTCTTTCCAACACGATGCTGAATCTACACGCAATCAGCACTGGTCTGTGTCGTTGAAGGCAGAGTTCTGAGCTTCAGGAGGAGCAGGACCCAGCAGCTCAGACTGTACATCAAGCTTGCTCTCACGCCATCCTTGGCTCTATTTTCTCCTGCTGGCTGCTTTTTCTTCCACGGAAAATGGGGCTTCTCTGTGGATGAGGGAGGCTGCCACACATTCTGACAAAGTAGCACCACCCTAGCACCACACCAGGACCAGCGCATCCCTAGACTGGGTCTCCTCCTTGCCTTGGGTGTAGAAAAGTACTGCCATCCTCAGAAAGGAAAGAACAGACACTAAGCTGGTGTCTACTGGGGAACCAGCCATTCTAGGATGGATAAACTTCTCCAGTTTCTGCTTCTTCACATCCTGGGGTGAGAGAACACCCTACCCTAGCATCTCAAAATCCCAGGTAGGAGCTCAGCCTCTTTTCTCTGCAGACTGGCTCAAATATGTCATGGACCAAAGGACTTCAGCACAAAGATCACAGCCCACACCACGGGCTTCCGGAATAAATCCTTCAGCCCAAGCTACTACATGTGTTTCCTAGTGTGCAGAGAGTTGTGCTCTGTTCCGCCAGCCAGTTCCCAAATCACAACACAGAGACTTCTCATTAAATATGAAAGCTTGGCCAGTAGCTTAGGCTTGTTTCTAACCTAAATTAACCTGTTTCTTTTCATCTATATTATTTTACATGGCTTGGTAACCTTATCACCGTAAAGTTCATGCTACTTGCTCCATGTCCATGGCATCTCCTAGAGGCTCCACCCTTCTTCCCAGCATCCTCTCTGCCCCAAAAGTCCTGCCTAACTATTGACTGTTGAACTTTTTATTAAGCCAATCACAGTGACTTATCTTTACACAGTATAATCAAATATCTCACAACACTAGTGACCCTGGGCCCCAGGAGTAAGCCTCTCAAGGTCCCCTTCACAAAAGCAGAACATTCCTTCTGCTCCTGGGAACACTAGCCTGTTTTATTTCCCTTCTTCATCTGCAGTATCATGAGTCCGGTGAGAAACAACGTGGGCAGAGGCCTGAACATTGCACTGGTGAACGGTGAGTGGTCACAGGTGTCATCACAGAAGGTTCCAGAGCAGGCGATAGTCAGTTGCAGCTAAAAAAACAGCAAGGAGAAAAGGAGACACCCCTTCCAGGTAGCAGGGTGGGGAAGAGGGAAGGAAGGACCCAGGCTGGGACTTCCTGTCTGGCCTCTCACAAAGTCAACAGGTTAAAAAATAATCATCAGTAACAATAAAAAGCAATGTGTTGAGCATGTCCTTTGTACAACTTGAACCCAGATCTGGCCAACTGCAGTGCTTCTAGGCATGTGTGTAGACGGGACCTCATGGATAATAATTAGCAAGAGAAGCAAAACACAGTTCAACATGGCTGGCTCCTAACCTCTTACTGTTCAGAGCTCCCTTTGAGAAACAGTTCACACTACGCTGCTCACCTCTACCCTGATTCTAGAAAAACCCACAAATGAACATGCTCACAGAGACGCAGAACCCCTTCCAAAGACCCCAGGTTTTTCTAGATGGCTCTGAGAGGGCTTGCCAGGTCAGCCTGCTTCCATCTACAGGGAGAGCGGCCACTAGCCCTGCCATGCCCTCTGCAATACTACCATCTAGTGGTGAAGGTTGAGAGCGGTGTCATCGCTTTTGCCTCCAAAACCACAAAAGCAATTCAGACCCTGGAAATCTGAGGACCGTTTGTCATGGGAAATTTAATGCCTCCAAAAGGAGAATTTGGCTTGCAGATTTCCCACTTGTGTGGGAGCAGTTATAACCACGTCCTTAGTACAGTTTCTCAGAAAATATATCTAGTACACTTTGTCTTGTCGATGTGTTTATTCCATTTCAAACCAACAGCCCGTTGAATTTGTGCAAAAATTAAGGACAAAATGCTGAATCATATGTGAGAAGCTGTCATGGCAGAACACAGACTCTGGATGGTTATGTTCTGTTGTGCACTGGATGTTCGGCTAGTGCGTTCTACCTCTCAAATAAAGCCCAGCCCAGGCAGTATGAGGCCCCCACTGTGCCCCTGATGACCTTCACAAGACCCAGTTACATTCAGCTCTCATTCTGGTTTTAGGGTTTACACTACCTGGGCCAGATTCAGCGAAGTGACGAGCAGGGTGACTCACGTTATAGGAAGTGTTATCTCTCTCTTTTCCCTAGGATCCACAGGACAGGTGACGAAAAAGGGCAGCTTTGACATGTACTCTGGAGGTAGGCACCTCTGTTGGCACTGATGTCGTGGGGGTGAGCCCCTTGCTCTAGAAGGGAACGTGTGGACACTAGGATGGGAAGGTTGGGGTTGTTCTGTTTTAGACACCTTCCTGGGGTCTGAGTTAGACTCAGGCACAGATCCTTAGAAAAGAGTTTAAGTATGATGGTTTATTTACAATCTGGTTTCAAGAGATGCCCACGGTGGGTCAAGGAGTAAGACCAGAGAAACGTGAAGCCAACCTGGGGAATTGGAGAGCTGTTGCACCACCATCTTGGACATAACCCAAGGGGTGTGCTTGAAGCACTGGTTTCTCCTTACTTCCTCGCAATTCTGACAAGCAGGCTCTTGAGGCCAGGCAGAGTTCTTGGTTAAAAAAAAAAAAGTTATTGTTGGCATTGGTACAAGAAAAGTGTATCCCCAGTGTTGTGCTGAGGATGAGGGCATATGGCCCTAGTGCCTACTCAAGCCCTGCTAGGGAGAGCACTTTAGAAAAGTTAAGGCTGCAGAGATCTCTGGTAGACCCACGTAGAGGGCACAGCCTCCTAAGGTCCAGAGAGGACCTCTGAGAGGTGCCCTCTTCTCCATCTCTCTGCAGAAGTTGTTTCTCCGCATAGACATGTTTTGGTTTGTGCTTTGAAATCTCTGCATATGGCTGGCTCTGAGGATATCACTGTCCCCTTGCTTTAGTACAACAGGCAGAATAGCTCTCCGCGGGCTGGAATTCAGGGATCTGAGTCCCAGGAACAGCTTGGCTGGTGACTTGCAGTTCTGTAGGCACAGTCTTTAAATTCTTAACCATTTTTGAATCAGTAGCCCTGCATTTTTATTTGGCCCTGTACCCCACAAATTATGTAGCCAGTCCTGCTAACAATTTATAGTTTCATTTAAAGGCACGTATTGTATGTCCCAGATTGTCACATGTAAATTTCACAGTGATGCCATAAGCAGGGCCATTGGCCATTCTTGTCTCAGACCACAGAGAGCTGTTTTGAAACAGAGTTTCATGTGGCCCAGGCTGACTTCAAACTCATTATGTAACCAAGGACAAACAACAGCCTAGACTGTGGTAATTTAGAAGATGCCATGAGGCCTTGGACAGTAGAGATCTACGAAGTTCAGATCCTCCTGCCTCTACCTCCCAAGTGCCGGGAACACTAGGTCTATATGGTATTGGGAGCCAAACTCAGTTTGCCAGACATGCCAGGCAACTGAGCTATGCATCCTAGTCCCACGCCCAGGGGACTTTACAATGCTATTGTCACCACTCCAGGTCACACAACAGATAAAGCTGAAGGAATCCCCCCATCACACTGCCCCCATCTGACTTCCGAGCTCCCCATCAGCCTGGCCCAGAACCGCCCTGAGTCATTAGGGTAGAAGAGAAAAAGGATCCAGTTGCGTTTCTCCTAAAGGCCAATACTTTTCTTTTCTTCTCCCAGAACCCAAACTCCTGATACAGTTCCTTGAAGAAATTCCAGATAGCACGCTGGTGCTGGTGGCCTCCTATGATGACCCAGGCACCAAGTAAGTGGGAAACATCACCTGTTAGGCCATGTGGTGATGCCAGCCTTTACACCTGCACACGCTTTCTCCCTCTCCTGAAAGCCCCACCCTCCCGCTAATTTATCCCGAGGAAAGAATCAGGGAAGGCTGCGAAATGATGTTCCAGGTGTATGCTGTGACCTTCATTACAATGATGGCAAAGTCTCCCTCTCCAGTAGCACTGGCTGGTTGCAGAAATTATAGCACGGTGTTATGTATCATTATATGTGCATATAAGAAGACGCTGCACTGCAAATGATGGTGGGAAAAAATCTTAAGGACTTGCGAGGATGCTCACTCTCTTGGTGTCCTATCGCTGTGAAGAGACGCCAGGACCAAAGCAACTTTTATAATAGACAACGTCTGTTTGGGGCTGGCTAGCAGTTTCAGAGATGTCGTCCATTATCATCGTGACAGGGAGCATGGCAGCAGACAGGCAGGCAGGCAGGGTACTGCAGAAGTAGCTGAGAGCTGCATCCTAATCTTCAGGTAGAGAGGAGAGAGAAAGAGAGAGAGAGAGAGAGAGAGAGAGAGAGAGAGAGAGAGAGAGAACGAGAGTGACCCACTTTTTCCAACAAGGCTACACTTTCTAATCCATATAATCCAGGCATTCAAGTACATGAGTCTACCAGAGACATTCTTATTCAGACCATGACACGCAGCCTCTAGGGCAGAGGCGGAGTGAGTAAAATAAATACATGTGCTCATTAGACTGGTGAGGTGACTCGCTGGATAAAGAGCTTACTGATTAAGAGTGGACGGCTGAGTTCAAATTCCCAGAACCGACATCGGTGTTAGGTAGACATATCTATAGATATCTATACATATCTATAGATAGTAGCCAGCCTGCAATTCTAGCCTCTGAAAGCCAAAACAAAGGATTGTCAGAGGAAGTAGGCGAGCCAAGCTAGTCATATCAGTGAGCTCTGTGTTTGACTGAGAAACCCTGACTCAAAAGAACAAATCAGAAGAGTGATGAGAACTATTCTCAACATCAGCCTTGGGCCACCACACATACACATGTCTATGCACATACACACATCTGCCCACACACATCAATCATACATGTACATGCATGTACAAACGTATGAGAAAAAGAAAAAACCCACTTGTGCTAAATAGCTTGTTATGACTAACTGCACAAATCATTTAGTGAATGCCATGGCCAGCTTGGCGTGTGTGAACACACACCTGGGGTTCACACACTGGATCACCTAACAGTACATCTGTGCAAACACGCTCCTGGTGTTCACACTCTGGATCACCTAACAGTACATCTGTGCAAACACGCTCCTGGTGTTCCCACACTGGATCACCTAACAGCACATCTGTGCAAACACGCTCCTGGTGTTCACACACTGGATCACCTAA